TCTTAAGATACTCAAAAGAACTTATAAGAAAGCATCACTGGATTGCCCCAAACGAGTGTAATAGCGAAATCTATCCATCCTTTATCCCCGTTGCATCTAGTACTACCACAAACACGCGGTCTTGCTATGTATCTCTGATAGTGAGTTCTTTCTGTGATAGCCCTTCCATCACATCAGGAGTGCCATCACTGATGACGGTGTCTTAGCATGAGACAAATCATGTGATCCCTAACCCTGCGACAATCGCTGCCTCCAGCGGGATCCTAAGTGGTTTCTATATATTTGCGGTCAGCTTCAAGAGACGACGTCATTCTACTTGTTACTTGTAACATACGCACTCAAAGTAATCATATTCTGGACTATTTACCTATCGTTTGCTCCCCGGAGCTCAGCCTATTACGTCCATCACTAGTTATGAGTCGAAAAACACTCTAGTTACGTCATGATGGACTAAACTTCAAATATCACGTCTTTATTTAACGTGGCTCTATTTAATTGCCTTCAGCTCCTAGGTGACATTACGGGCGTTCTAAGAATAGGTACATCGACTCAAAGATTAGCTTAGAGTGATTCTCCCGCCAAAGGTGCTAAATTTGGCTACGTCAAGGAAGAGCCGTATATTCGGCACTTGCGTGAAATCAATCGCTGCGCGCGAGCCTGAATTAACACCTAACGAAGATGTTATGTAGTGTGCAGCCAGCTGGCGCACAGAAAATTCGTCGCTTGAAAACTGATCTGGGTGAGTTACTTCCAAAGACTGTACACCCGCAACTGTGAGTAACCATTTCCTTAACCGACAGTGTTCTGCATATAGATGAAACAGCTGTCTTAGTGTTAATATAAAACCTAATGAATTGAGCAAAGCGCTGTGTGCTGCATCGCGAAACTTTCTTTTTATACACGTCGTAGTGAACGTTGGTTTTAGAGGAGAATGTGGTAGTGACACGAACAGTGGGTTTACTCTCACCATCCGTAGCACGTCCAATGGTGTCAGCCTGACTTCTTTGCAAAGACGGTCGCGCAAAGAAGGCACATACACCCACAAATCAACCGTACGATCTGGAACATCGTCTACCTTATACCAAGATCCTTTGATAGGATTAATAGACGCTTGCATTGGCACACTGAAACTCATAAGAAAGTCTCCCTTCGCATCTATGTCTGAAACAGCGCGAACGCGGCCTAGTTGATACTTGTCACAGTGAAACCGTACAAGGTTAGAATGTCCTGTAGTGCTGAATTTGACTAGTGAGTCGAGCGTTGTCGCTGTCGGCGTGAATACTGGAAATGTGCCCAACAGGTAGATTGTGAGCCTTCCGTTCCCATGAGAATTCAAGTAACGTTCTGTCGCGTGCAATCGCTGCTCGAGTGCATAAGCGCCGTCTCCAAGCAACATTAGTTTCATGCCCTCTCGTGAAAGTCTTTCAACCGCAGGTACATCCCACACTAAATCTCGGATCGGCTTAAGATATTTTTCTTTTTCCTTCGCAGTCAAAATACACAACTTCAAGTTAACTAACTTTGCTGCGTCGAAGGCGGACACACTATCCAAGATTCTTCTCCGAATTGGCGAAAGAAAGAGAAGGTATCCAAGAGACGTAATACTTTTCTCCACATTGCTACTTGCAATATCTTCTTGTCGGGTATCATTGGCGAGCCTTTGGTCATACAGTAGTTGTGGTAATGGGGACATCTCGAAAAACGGAAAGCTGTAGTTAACTGGTGAGTGGCGACAGCCTGGACATCTTTGTTAGCCTTTTTGGATGGAGTGATTACATAAAGATCAGAGCATCTGTTTACATACATAAGACAATATATTGAGATTGCGTTGTATATATGCTCGGTAGTTCAGGATCTTATAAGCAAAGATTGGGTAACTAACTTATATATCGATAATATGACGGCAGGTAGGTCAGCCAGCTATCGCATTCCTAGCGTCACGATAAGATGATGGAGAGGCACGTGCGTAGCACTACCAATAGTAACTAATCCCCGTAGTAATTACACATTATGAGCAAGGGTTAGTAACCTCTTAAAAACATCAGCCCCTAAGGTATATAAGCTGTTTGATGGCACGATAGTCTATCATTCGGCCTTTGGCTTTGCACAAAATGGAAAGGACAATGCACAAGTAGGTCTTACAGTAAAGTATCTGTTCAGAGCTAAGCCTCTAAAGTACCGATATACTCGACTTCAATCCTACTTCTCCAAATATTCGGGCACTTCAGACCTCATTACGCTCTATATTATCTGAAGATGAAAAATTCCAAGCATGCATAGCTATACGGAACGAGATGCTTTCGCAACAAAGACAAACTGACTGGCTTTTCAAAAAACTAAATAAGGTTATGATAGAAGAGTGTTATCAATATAGGAAGAACGAGCAGCCGCAGCTAAATTCTCTTTTTAATGCGAAGCAATGGGAGCAATTCGTCAATACGGCACAATCTAAGATCAGAATGAGTAAGCAGTGTCTCGCTCCGCTTGTTAAGACAGCCGAGTATTGGGGTATGAATAAGGTCCAATACTATGAGTGGGCTTCAATGGGACCCAAGTACTGCGATGTACTTGCAGTTGCTGCTTCCCAAAATCCTGTCTGGGAAGACGTCCGGGTCAAGCTCAACCAGCTACTTTTGAGAAGGATTACAGAAGGGCGTTTTCTAAGAAAGACAGCGAACCCTTTCTACCTGGTCGACTTGGAGCACCTTATTGCTTGGACAGGCAAAACCGACTTTGAAAAGAAAGGCCGCAGAGCATACACTTTGAAGTATGAGACAATTGCCGAATCCGATTTGCCAGTCGACTATGTACTTGACCGGTTCGGTGTCATTGCAGCTGCAGCATGTCAATCTGCTCCATCAACATTCACCGCGACGGAACTTGAAGTCCCATATCATCCGCACAAAGTTGCGGATATATTTACGAGAAGTACAACAGCAGTCTTGAATAGCCATCTTTCTCAACGATGTGCCCGTAACTGGAAAGTATTGGGAATGCTACTTGTACAGGGTTGTTGTGTATTAACTATGCTTTCTTTGCTTGTATATACGAATGCAGGCGATCAGTTGTATTCTATGTACATTGATCTAACTAAAAAGATAACATAAAGTCTTTGACTGAGATATAAGCTAGGAGGTGCAGGAGAGAATCAAATAATGCGTGTATTGACAATGTTAGCGGGTCAATTATATTAGTTAACTTGTAACGTAACTAATATTTTAATCTTATTCTTGTAATAAAAAGGATTGGGACAACGTCTTCGCAAGCCTGATAGGATTCTAACCTTAACACTTGATGTTCTGAATAGTGTACTCTTTGTCTCCCTCAACGACGCCGCACACATCGCCCCAGCCAATCTCAAATTCATCGCTCTTTAGGTTTTTCAGCTTAGCGCTAGGCGCACATCTTGCATCTACAGAATAGTAGCTAGTTTCCATGCTAGGTGCGGTGTTCCAATCGCAAACATCGGAAGCTGAGTTTTCTAACCTGCGATGGAGCTCTTCAGGCGATGCTAAGACGTTGGATTTGTGAATACGGTAATTGTTCTTGGAATGCTTCGAACTATGACGATGTTTGATGTATTTCCACTTACTTCTAGCCAGCTTTGCACCGTACGAACTGCTGCGGGCTATCGAGTCTTTATCGTAGCCATCAGATTTTTTTCGTTCATCTTCCGTTATTGATTCGCTAGTAGGATCTAATAGTGCAGTATATCGTGTTGTAGGAACAGTTTTAAAGCTTTTATAAGTGCGCGTAGTGGTGCTACTAGAGCTGGAGCTAATCTGAACTGCTGCACAGTTCATGAAAAATTCATGCTCACGGTTCAACCAGATCCAACCAAAGACTGCTATACCTGTTGGTATGTTTAGAGGGACCTTAAATTCGAAGACTTGTGGCATGTTTTTGTCCCTGTGAGGGCAGTTCCCATGGTATGAAGCTGCGACTTTCCATGTCTGACCTTTGTCCACAGAGAATCCAACTTGGCAGCTTCCACCATAGTGAGTTGATCCTGGAACACCGATACTATACATGTGGTCGGATAACTCAAAGTAAGCGTCTTGGCCAGGTTTCCATGTGACTTGCGGTCTACCTTCCTCTGTATCTAGAAGGTCAAGATGACCACGACAATCGCCAGGGGAAGGCAGTGTTGGCTCTCCCTGAGAATCGCAGCATCCAATTGGAAAGTTGAACTCCTTATCCACCTGTGTTGTGAAAGAGTTGGCTTCTTTACTACCACCGAGAGGGGGCGGATACCACAACGACATATGGGCTCGAGCTGTAGTCGCTAAGGATGCTAGGAGAATTCGCACTACATACATCATATAGTAGGTGTGTAATTTACAATGTATAAAGCCTCTGAAGATATCTTAATTAAAACAGATCACTCTGCCAGGTTTATATAGACATACACTAGCAATGATTTAACTTGGATATCGTTTAGTGAGTGTAATAACGAGATATGTAGCGTACATATGAACTCAATTGTTACCTGTGACTCATTGCTCATAGTATGGGGTTGCCCCTTTGTCAAACACGAACATTCTAAATAGTAGTTATGCCATGACATCACCATACATATGATTATAATGGTAGATCCTATAAATAGCTAAGAATGCTTCTATACGTTAAAACACAATACCTCTCTATGACAATGGGAGTGGCCCGTTTACAAAGCCACTAGCAAAGGTAGGTAAATGTACGCCTGCTACACATAAGGGGTAAAATCGTAAAGGTAAGAGATAATAACCCCTTGGTTGCATCATGTGGTGAGGTACAAAAGGCAAGGTCGTGTTACAAGGTAGAAATGCCTTGTTAGGCATGAGCTTTTGGCAGTTTTCCTGCCGACCACAAGGATTGTGGCTACAATGAGACGCAGCAGGGAAGGGGATGGCGCAGTTGTAGTGAAGCAGCAGGTATTCACCATTTAATGTCCGCTTCATTAAGCAGACTCCTACTCCTGGCATCCTCGAATAGTATCCTAGGGTGCTTTATGTGAATCTTTATTCTTCAATTTGCGGATGGTAATGCGTACTGTATGCAGTTTTCGCCTTTCCCTCTATCGATAGATTGCACCATGCCCGTCGTATTCCTCTTTGTGACGTCGTGCTCACATCTGTCCACCCTGGATTTCCGGCATTTTTTCGCACGCTGTCTTTAAGAGTTTTCCAGTTTTCTAGGAACGGGGCATACTCAACCGATCCAGACAATACGAGAAGGTACTTTCCATAGTGGGTTGCCATAGTCGTCATTATGAGCTTTAATGTTTTGGAGTGAATTCTGGTGCAAACTCCGAACAACAGCAGATCTGAAGGCTTAAATAACATGCCAGATCTTCTTAGTGCCCATCGCGCCGGCTGTTCAAGTTACAGTTAAGAGAATACCACGGAAGAGCTCGGATGACTAGAGATACTACCGGCTGTTGAGTCAACGCGAACGGCCCGCTAGGGAATCGAATAGTCGCTACAATCAAAGTTACCCAGAAAAAAGGACGATCAATTGCGAGATAATATATCTAGTCACGCGTCTATAGACTGCTGCATGGTGATACAATCTCAACACCTCGTTGGGCGGGTACAACAATTTGATCATGTGACAGTAATCGCCCGACCTTAGTCATGCTGTTCCTACAGATTGGACAAGCTACATAGTTTTTGTTTAACTCTCTAGGCGAGCTTACCCATGTTAGAATGCAGACTCGACAATACACGTGGCCTTGATTGTTAGTTAACTAACTATCTCAAATGCATAATGTCAACCTACCGCAAACTAGGGCAATACGAATGGAACTTCCAGCATCTAAGCAGATAGCACATTTTAGATTGTAGAGTCGTAGCGGTCTCTGCCACCCAAAGTCCACGTGATCGGCATGCTGGCAAGGAAGAAAGGGTGGCTCACCCGGAAACTGGACACAAAAGCCACAGATAACCTTTCACTATTAGCAACATAACTTGATGTGAATAGCAATAGACTTACACAACGACAATCCTTCAAAACATACACAAGGCTGGCTTTTCCGCTACCTACTTCAAGTATTCTTGAGCATATAGCGCAGTGTTCTGCCTCGGTGGTAAGATCAATGCAAAGTGCTTTTCGCGTGGAGGGCATTACTAAATGGAAAGATAATATAGCCTGATGTAGTTTGTTGACCTTGTAACATATATAGTTATACGAGGATTTTGAAAAGATACGTTACGTAGATTTAGGTGCAGATTGCATATAGATAGTCAATATCAGACACGTACGAGCCTTATAACCTTTGTCACAATGCGCGCTAAGAAGCAAATTGAGGGAATATGTATTTGGAAGCCATACTATCTACACTTGGCGGTTCTAGTAGCGGTGTACTTTGGACCCCGGCCTTACAGAATGCTCAGGCAGTTCGGCGAGCGCTTCGATATTGGGAGCCTCCTTAGCGTGAAGGTCACAACTATAGTGTACACAATTGGATATATTCTTGTTTGCACAACTAGCGTAGTAGTTGTGATGGACATTAATAACTGGGCTGCTGTCCCTTAAAGCTATCTCTAGTAGGCGTTGAGTTTTGGCACATGTCTTTCTTGAACAGACTTGAACATCTTGAACGTGTTGGGCGCCGCTAGATCGGCGTTTACCGCAGAGTAAACAAAGATTTTGTCTGGTATTATGAGACATGAGACTAGTAAAAAAAAGCCCAAAAATAAGGGCTTATCGGGGCTGGGAATGCTTTAGCGCTTAAAATGCTGTAAGATAACTTTTGGTCAGTAGTAGGAAGTCTCGTTCTTATACCTATGATACAGTCATAGATGAACGTGACCTCATTTCTAGATTTAGGAACATTATAAAAGCTAGTGGCTGTAGTAATCACTCTTGAAATTATAGCTATCTGTTATAATTGCTAAGGCACTAGTTTAGATTAATACTCACCTCAATAGGCACACCTACACTCGGGACACACAAGGCCATCAACTCGCTCCCTTTAATCTCAAAATCAGTACAAAAATCATAGAGAAACCCTAGGGAGTTACTGTCTTGATGATGGAGGCGCGTTTTAGAAGTTCCAAAGGCTAGCCCAGGAATAAGACCGAGAAAGATGTAGGCGGAAACAGAAACAGTAGTTAACTAGTGCAGTACATTATGATGACTTTTAAAGATTGCAAAGTATGCTAGTTATCAAGGGATAGTAGTGACTAAGGCGGAAAGTTTGGTGTGCATCTCGCTTGCAATTTATATTCACTCATTCAGTACCATGAACGCCAGCCAATTTTGGCTCCTCTCTGAAAACCCTAAACTAACTAGGCATGCTGAAGCTTAGTTTTACATTTTCCATTCGCCTGGTTATCCCTAGCATGTCATAGAGGCATCGGTGCTTATTTCCTTGCTCTGGACGACATTACGACTCTTCACCATCTATAATGATCTAAAAAAACCCGCCATGGCTTACGTACTATGTAGTTAGTCTTGCGCAGTTGAAAAAAATATTGCTACCAAAATCAACGCAGTGACCACGCCCAAGCTCGTCAACCACAATCTAAGCCTTGAGCGCGACCGTTAGCGTTATAATATTCAGACAAGGCACCACTAGCACAAAACGAACAGTAGCTTGGGGCTGCGCTTACGGCTTGACCCTAAGTTAGGGTTACGACAGTGGTGAGCATTTCCTAGTAAACTACTTAGCATAGGGTGAGAGAATACTTTCAGTAGTTATGTCGGCTGCTCTGAAACCGACGGTATTTTATAAGCAACAATAGCAAACACATATATTCTAACCAGACACGCATACCAAGATTATTGTGGGCAACAGAAGGGGCCGTCTTGAATGCAACTATTACTCTCACGAGAAGTCTCCACCTTGTTATTCGCTGCTCTGCACTCTTCCCCTAGCTTTTCTGCGTCCTTCCTTACTAAACCAACCGAGAGGTTATTATTGCCTTTCAAAATCACATTTGCAGCGAAGAAGAATGGGTGTCCTAGAAGAGCACCATGTGGTTCCGAACTTTCTTCGAGCCTTCCTGGATCTAAATGCAATACTAGTTATTTCCTTATAAGTCAACGGTAAAAACCAATCTAAACTTACAATACTCATCATTAATTAATCCTTGAGGCTTGAAGAACGCACCCGGGATTTTAACTTCGTAATTTCTTTCCCCAATATACAGATAAAGATCAGGAAGCACTCGATGTTGCGGAATGAGATAAAGTCCATCTTGGTAAATGTGACCTGGCACCATCGAGTAATAGGCTTGTACAATCTTGGATGGAAGCCATAGGGAAGTGGAAGCAGTATCCAAGCTAGCACGAAAGTCTGCTATTGATGCTTCTTGTCTATTTCGCTGTTTGCCAATTGCAAATTTGGTTATCGGTAATCTCCAACGATTTTTGTCCAGTCCTTCCCAAAACTGAACTTCTTCAGGTCTGTAAGGCATGGTTCCGAATGTATATTCTCCTATGCCATTGAATTTAAGGTCGGCGACAAATACAGGCTTCGGGAGAGCAGGTGCTAATTTTGCCCAGAAGGTAAGGAATTCCCGTATTGCTAGCCAAGATTAGCCATGCTCGTGAGTTCTGAGGAAATGGTGAAGAACGAGCACTTACATCCGGCACCGTAGTGAGGTTGCAAACCTAGTATGCCCTCCATGAGGTCGCTCTCAGCTATACCTTTTTGACCTTCGACGGATGATAATATGAATACAAGTTGTTCATTCTGGCTTGTTTCGCCGAATCCTACATTAGCTAGAACAGCTTTTTGGTATGTAACCTTAAGCCCATCTCCATAAGTGGTTGAGGAACCTTTTGTAGTCAAAAATGTAATAATATCTGGCCCTGGGTCATATACGTTGCGACACCCACGACTCGATTCTGGGACGGTTGTAGAATAAAGCCAACTAAATATTGTTATTCTAGAAACGATTCTGAGGGTGCTAATAACACATGCGTTACTGAGCTGTGTGTATCCAAACTCACGCTAAATGAGCCGCTTCCTACTTGTATTTTGAAAAAAGGGTAAACTCCTTTGGATTCATCTGTTTGACGTAGAATGAAAGACCGGACTTTGTTAGACATTATGTGTGGTTTGGCTAGCTAATGTGACAAGTGGATTATATAGAAAGGTTTGGGACCTGGGAGATATATAAATGAGCTGCCACCTAAATCTTTGGCGAAGCACGGGCTATATAAGGCTCGGTGTTAGAGGCGGCTTATCGTATATTCGCCAACGGCTAAGCTTATGGTATACACTTTCGTTGCAACTGCGTTAGTTACGTACCGTAAACCACCTGTGGTTATCTGATCTATCTTAGTGTCCTTCTACATTCACAAAGTCAGCGCTAAACCCCACGACAGCAACGTGTGCGACGTTGCCACGATAGTTAATGTGTTACATAGCATGGCTAGAGATTCTATTGATATATTCGCACAAATGCACCACTTGTGGGCCCACCCAAGTGGTTTTGTACGAATATGATGGCTAACGCAATGCTTGAGATGGTCGCTTACCTCGTACGTCAGTACGTATAGGGTGGGTCCGTGCGAAGTTGAATAGTCAAGATGTAGTATAGTCAGCGCTACAACTATTACATAGGGTGGGTCGCTTTCAGGAACGCCACTTGTTCTTAGTCCCCCGATAATATTGCTTCATGGATGGCTTGCTTAGGCGAAGCTCCTACCAGGTAGTTTCACGGAGAGGCGGTAGCGCGGTGTGTAGCTGAGACAACTAATAGAGTTTTTCGAGACTAACTAGAAGGCATAGAACTAACACAATATAGTAAGTTGCACTTACTTCAACATCTTAGTCGACGGTGTAGCAGCTAACACATTTAACGAAGCGAGCAGGGCAGTCAAATGCATAATGTTATGGAATATCAATAATCCAGATGACCTAGCTATCTCAACTAATAACGTATTTATCTTACTCAAAGCTAGCCTGCACGTGCTCAAGTAGCGGAACTTTAAAGATGCTCTAACTAGATTGGAGTCCAAGAGCTCTAACCCTTTCTTTATTGTCTGAGCCGCATAATCCCCCATCGTCTCCAAGGTCTAGATAGCGGATTTGGCTGCTTTCTGGAAGCGGATCGGCTACGATTGGTGGATTGATGCCTTTGTACCGTGGGGGGTAGCGAATCCACACATTTTGCGGAACATAGCATCGAGACCAGATTGGATGCTGTGAATCCGGTGTTTCTGGATCCTCCTGAAGGTTGGCAATATACATAGGATAACCAGATGGAATTTTGGTTAGGGATCGTGCTGCTATCAACCGGATAGGCGAGCATGACATATAGAACTCTCGATTACCGGATGAGTTCAGCCAGGTCCTGTTGAGTCAGTAGCGCACTGTGACGGAAGAGTCTGACTTACCATGCGAAGATTACCGCATCTCCCCCTGGAAGGGAATCAGGAATATCAAAAGAGTAACTTTGATTAATGTCATAGGAATTTGTAAGTTTACCTTCTTGACCCTTTCGTACACGCACGCAGTTTCCTTCCCAGCTTTGCACGACAATCCAGGTTTCCCCATTATCGTAGGAAAATGATGCCTGGCAAGAGCCTCCTGAATGAGCTGCGCCTGGCTCGTGCATGCTAGCGCCAGTCGTGTTTGTGGAGTCATAAATCCTATGGGCATGCTATAAGCCATGTACCAGAATTGTTTGAGTATGAGCTGACATACTGAAACGTTACCGTACTTCCAGTATACCAAGTGGCATAAGCTTTATGATAAGTCACATCTCTATGATAGCCCTTGCAAGGAAAAGGTTGCTGACCCCAGCCTGGACCTTGGTAGTTTGGATCACCATTCAATGGCATGATCAGCTTTGTTACCTGTGAATCCCAGTGAAAGGGTGCAGGCTTGCCCACAAAGACATGTGAACGAACCATTGCAAATAGCACAAAAGCCCAAGTAGATTTAATTTGCATGCTAAAAGTCTGAAATGTATAAGAGGAAATTTTTAGGCTGTGGTCATATCTAATGTTAAGTAATGCGTCCTGTTTTATATCATGCTCTCAGTCATGCACGTGGCACTTAATGCAAGCTCAGAGGTGGCATACAAGGTTCAGCAACATAGATGACTCCATGGGGGAAGGAGATAGAAATTTCACAGGGATTATATTCTAGCTTAAAACCCCTAACGACCACCACAATACGCTTCTTACAAACAGTAACCAGTATTCTGGTCTTTTTTCAAAGGATGGGACATGCTTGCTCTAAACCACTTTCTCAAAAAAATGAAACCATCGGTCATATGCCAGTCCGTATTCCGCTTCCAGTAACAGGCCAGGAGAAGACCAAAGAATCCCTATGGGACTTGGTAAATGATGGAAAGTTTCAGGCTGAAGTGGTGGAAAGATCATTCCGGGTTTTCTTACATGAAGATCTTCCTGATTATTGGAAACTACAATTTGATCTCTTGGTAGTGTTGAAGTTTGTCTTCGACCGCATTAAACCAAGAAGTGTTACTGTAATCTTTCCGAATAGGCCACTACGTTACCCCACTGGAGATACCGAAGCTCTTTTGAAACTAGCAAGTATTGAGACTCTCCATCAAGGGATCCAACTATGGACTGAATATTTAGCGCAAACCGGCAGCTTGCATCTTGAGAATTCCGACTGGCAGAGTGCTTTCCAGAAAACGCGCGAAGGCTATCGCTTCAATCTAATACAGACTGAAGACAAAATTTTCTTTCAAGACAACGACACGCACTCACAAGAGCTTCATACAGGCAAGAACAGAAGAAGCGCCACTGAAGAGATGACTAAAACAATTCAAGATGTTTACAGCAATTACAATTTGGTGGAAGAATCCTCTCATGAGGCTTTGAAGGAAAGAATAAGCCAAAAAGCGAGAGACCTTCTTCCACGGTATATGGAACCTGTTCCTCTTGATTTCGCAGTCCATAACTACGAAAGCCTGATGAGGACATCTTACGATGCCGGCACGGGTATTGGTTTGACAAATGTTGCACTCCAGGCATTCACAGATGCCAAAGAATCCTCAAGAGGTGGACTTGGCTCTAAGATTGACATTATCGTCGTCAAGGGTACAGTACCACGAGCTCATGTAGGATTTCTGTTAGAGACCAACATCGAAGTTCAAAACAACATCTACACAAGCAAAAAGAGTAAAAAGTTGCAGGCAATGGATTCTTGTGGCATTTGCTTTGCCATCTTGCCCAACACGGGGGCTGGTGATATCTGGAACAGGTTGAGCTACCGCGGCAACCGCAACAGAGGCTTTTGCAATTCTGTTGAACTGCCTACCAATATCTCGCCGCATGCTGTCACTGGAGAATTTGTGCGAAGAATGGTGCTTGGCTCGGCATATTCAACCGCTTTATAGATATTTGGAGGGACATTCGGTATGAGTTTTACTTACTTTATGAAATGTCTGCTATATTGAGTATCTATGGTTATATATTTACTATAATCTTCCCGAAGATAGTATTTGCAGCACATATATTCATACAGATGCGGATTTAGCAACGAAGCGTAGATAGCCTCCTTTAATTTATTGTTCTCTTACTTATTCTCCTCTCTACCACTGAGCGCATGGAGTAGTGAACAATTGCCTTGTGGAAGCGATTCAATATAGCCTCGGGATCGTGGGATATCTGTAAGAGCTGCTCTCTCTTACTTTCATTCAAGCTTTCATAAGCCACCCACGTAGGTTCCCACTGTATCCAGACTTTGCCTGACTCCTCGTGTACAATGTAGCCCCGATGGCTGGAATAAGTTTGCTGTAGATAATAAAAAAGACCCTTAGTCATTCGGGCGACTTTCCAGTATGCTAGGAATGCTGGGAAACGGCTACCCGCGTTTAGATATGGGGGTAAAGCCTTCGCCGCGACATATCCAAGCAAACCAGGTCGATCTTTTCGGACCTCTATAGGAAACTCATGAAGTAGTTCTTGGGGGGAGGATTGAATTGACTTCCTTTCAATGGTAGGCTCCCAGGAAATGAGTAGCTCGTTTTCGCCTCGAGCGTGGACAAGCCACCCCTGATTTCCATCTTGACGAAGTGCATGGTACTCACGTGTTGAAAGCCATGAACTTTCCCAAAATATAAGCACATTCAGGCGGTCAATACTAATAGCGCCTAAACAAGGCCATGCATCTTCGTTAATTGTATTGCTGCCAGGTTCAGTCTTCATCTCGCCGTTTGGACAACAATCTAGTAGCGAAAACATTCAAGAAATGGCTGTGTTGGGTCGGCGAGGAAATGTGTTAGAGTTGGGGATAAGAGCGTTATATAAAATGAAAAATTAAGTAGTTACCTAATATATTTGATAAACATTATTACACTCGAAAAAAGGCACGCTAATCTAAGTGCGTATGAAATCATATTCTACTGCATAAAGAATTGGAGCGGTTTACTCCGAAAGCTATCCGGATCACGCCCTTGGAGATCAAGGTCATGGGTCAGGGTATTCGAGATGAGATCAAGAACAGCCTTTGGGACTGGTTCTAGCAGCTCCGGCCTAGCCTGCAACACCTCGCCAAACCAAGCTGCCTCCACTAGCGTCAATTCATCTATACTACTCAATCATATTAGTAGAAGTTTGACTAAATATAGAATTGTATCTTACTCTTTTAGTTGAATAGGCTTACTAAGAGCCTTCTCCTCAAGCTCCTCAAGCTCCAATCCAAATTGAGTCACACTTAACGAAGGCAAATCGGATCCGAAGCTTGGAAACAAAATAAGCAAGGCTGGATCTAAGGATCTCCAGCCTCGCAGAACATGGTGTAGTACTCTCCCGTCTTTAATGTATTTATTTATATTGCGTCGGATTCGCTTTTCATTCCCGCCATATTCTTTGACGATTTTCTTTGAAATCTCATCTTTGACCATATCAGGAGCCCGCCTCTTTCTCTCTGAAGGACTAAGATTTTCGTAAACTCGATGTATTTCTTCAGTATGTGGAGTAGGGGGCAGTATCTCAGAAATACCCTGCTTGAAGCTAGTAGTCCGTTTTCGAGCCAAGACTCTTCGCCTCTCTTGTGTGCTATTGCGCTTCTCCTCCTGCAGCGCTTTGACAGCGCGCAGATATGTCTCAAAGTAGCAATATTTAATATATCTATTTCTGGCAACCAAAATATGACTTTGGCTTTCTTGTCTGTCCAAGTAGATGTGGATGTGGAATAGTTTGTCGAAGATGGGTTGATCTGTTCGTGAATAGGTTTGGCATTCGTCTTTCCTGGTACAGGCCAGTTTGAGTGATTCAAGAATATGGGGAGATCCGATCTCGTTCACACATTGCAAAATGCGTAGACAACGCCCGCGATTTATCTCAGAAGGCTTCCGGAGAAGTGATTCCCGTAACGCTTCGAGCTCGAAGTTCTCTAGATTTGGTACGAAAACCTCGCCAGTTTGTGATTGTGTCTCTAAGCGGGCCAGCTTCCATTGAGGATCAATGTGTTCAGGCCCTGTAAGTTTACTAGGGATGCCAGACTTTTCGAGGACATAATCGCGTTGATAGGGCGCTAACAACTCCTCTAGAATACGTATGCGTAAGTCACGAGAGGATGGGACGTTCTGGAGGGGCCGGTGCTGAAAGTAGGCTTCTGCTATCCAAATCGATAGTAGTGTACTTTCCATGTGCGGCTCAATGCTTCGTGGCTAAAGAAGGTCAGTTAGTGTCGGGAGTCGAGTGGGTGATTGGCCTACATCAGTATATTCCGTCCTCCATTCAGGACGTACTAGCCACGAAATCTCAAGAGATGGTAGATCCCATGTTTCGCTATCAAGAATGAAGAGCGTTTTACTCGTCTCTAGCCCTACCACAAGCAGAGGCGAAGGGTCTTCGTTTCTGCGTACGATTGCTACAAAATCGGTACAGGTACTTCCTTCTACCGCCTCTGGATCGAATGCACCAGAACAAAAATCAATAATGAGAATTGGACCGGGCAGTAGCGTATACAATATACCATGGAGGAGTCTTGACGTAAGGGGCGTCTCTTTCACTAAGGGTGCTAGGACCTCCTGAACATCAATACAATCTGCATCCTCTGCAGTTTCGTGCGGAAGGCGGAAGCCCAAACGACAAGCGAGATCCACATAGCCTTGAACTGTCGGATCATCGTCAAAATGTTCTGTGTGACTTTGGTTGGTCAGATGTTGTTCGTCAGGGTAGGTGGCGGTCTCTTCGACGTCTCTCTGCACCTCGTCATGTACAGAGGTAGAATACAAATCTCCAAATGCTTCATTGAAAAATTGAGGTGAGGGTAAATTATTGAGAATATCCACTCCAAACTCTTCTCCACTAAAAAGTGAATCTGAGACATCCTGCTCGATTAAGCCTAGATGTGGCTGATGGACCAAACTAGAATGTGAAAGCTCGGGAAACTGCTGATTTTCAACATCTTCTGGAACCTCCAATGATTGGTATAGAGCAGTGGCACTAGTTTCCTGATAAGCCTGGCCAGTTGAGGCTTCATCGAGGACCTGCACTGGCTGTACATCCGTACACTCATCCTGCTCGTTACTAACCAGCCTTCGCGTATAGGGCGAATGAGAGGGTACGTATTGCTCTATCCGATGCCTCAGTTGCGATATTTCATTCTCACAATTCCTCTCAAGAAGGATTTTGTCCGCTTGGCTATCGTTGTCGACGGGCAACAAGCCCGGATGATTCATCAGAATCTCTGCTGCAGCATCCCTCGTTTCGTGTTCATCATCGTTTTCTTCGTAGAGAATTGGGGAGCGTGTCCCATAGTCTTGACTACTGGACTCAGACTCCGTCTCATCTTCAGTGACAAACAGCGAGCCTGCTGAAGCATATTGGGGAGCGGATGCGATGCGGCGAGAAGACCTTCGCACCCCTTGATTAGCACCACCCACACATGCAGGCTGTCGATGGGTTTGCATGCTCGCTTGGCTAGCTCTCCTGATGGACATTTTCTGCTGAGCGTCCTTCTTCAAGTAGTCGAGCGCATTTATCAGGGCTACAAGTTCATCATAGTCGATTGTATCGCTTATTTGCAACCAATTGTCTGCAAAACGCTTTATCTTATTAGATAAATCAGCCATGGCACGTTTTTGTTAGAATTTACACACCTTGATCAAGGCTAGGGCTGAAGATAAATGACCGTTTGGCGCCATTATGTCGGCGAATTGAATAGGCGAATTATGCACAGGGTCAGCAGGAGGCATTGTACAATTAAACGTGCTTCATCAGAAAAGTCTTCCTAGCCAAGAGCAATTCCCTATCTTCCGTCGCTGCCTGTCTTCCGTCGCTGCCTGTCTTCCGTCGCGCTAGTCCGGCTCGGAACGGATGGGTTTACTTGTAAGCCAATAACACTAGCTTTTTCTATATATTACTAATTTTGGTTTAGCGTAACAAGCACGACACTTCAAAGTGCTCCTGCTTGTTACGCTAGTCCTTTTTTAAAGCATGTTGTTCGAAGACAGATCTTTGCCCCTCAAACTATGGTGACTATGTAGAACAGCCTCTTCTGGTTTAGCGTAACAAGCACGACACTTTGAAGTGCTCCTGCTTGTTACGCTAGTCCTTTTCTAAAGCATGTTGTTCGGAGACAGATCTTTGCCCCTCAAACTATGGTGACTATGTAGAACAGCCTCTTCTGGTTTAGCGTAACAAGCACGACACTTTGAAGTGCTCCTGCTTGTTACGCTAAGCCATTCCTAGAGCATGCCGTTTAAAGAGATCAGCTCGAAGAGTCTTTGTCGCTGAGAACTTATCTACTTCATGTTAAAGCTCATTGCGTTGGAACTGAACATCCGGCTAAAGCGATGGATAATACTTTTGAACAATCGTTCACCAAAGCTCAGCAGCTCCAGGGTATCTCTTTGGGCTCATTCATAGCATCAGTCTCCTTTTCTGCAATTATATTCACACTAGAAGTTCTTGCGTTTCTTGCCATCCGCAAGCGATTCCCTGATTTCTAGTAAGTTCAAAGCTTTCTATCAGATCTAGCGCTCATGATCACAGCACTACTATTCCAAATCATCAAAATAGTACGTCTGAGAGTTGGAAAGAATACATTGCAACCAATTTGGTTCGATTTGACCGCCGCCACGAGCATTTCGATAGATACTTCTTCCGCCGGTACCTGCGATCACTAGCTGTTATATTTACACCCGCTTTGATACTTATACCACCCATTCTTATTCCTTTAAACTACACTCAGGGGAAAACTGCTGTTCTTGGAGTAAGTGGACTTGATGCGTTAGGGTGGTCCAATGTTGGCCTTGATCAGGCAGATCGTTATTGGGCTCATCTCATCCTTGGTTTGCTTTTTATCGTACATGTTTGCTGGGTTATCTGGAACGAGCTTGCATTTTACGTTGCAACCTGGCAAAGCTCACCATACGCGGCTTTGTGCACAGTGCTCATCGAATCCATACCCGACGATTGGATGTCCGATAAGGCACTCACATCTCAGCTGGAGGTCTTCCCTGGCGTAGTTACTGCAATCTCTTTCAATCGTGACTATAGCTTAATTTCCCGTTTAGCAGAGAGACGAGAACGCTTAGCCCGATCTCTCGAGATAGAGGAGATTTCCAAGATAAGGAAGGCCTACAGGGCAGGCATTCAGAAACGAGACCAGAAATCAAACTTTACCAAGAAACCTAGACCCGCAAGCTACAAATCACGCAGCCTTTTAAACGTCTTCGCCTGGTTGGAACATGAAAAAGTTGATACCAGCATAGCGTATAGAGAGGAACTTCTTAAAACTAGTGAAGAGATGGAATTTTATCGTGCAGCACGAGAGAGATTCCCCCTATTGCGATCCGCCTTTATTACCTTCGCCAATCCACTGGCCGCCAACATGGCGTGTCAAACAGTGATTCATACTAGTTCAGGTTATATGACACCCCGTACGATACCTTTGTCCGTTGATGATGTGATATGGAGCAATGTCAACATCACCTGGAAGGACAGAACCATACGCACTGTCCTTTCAAACACGCTTATTATGGCAACGGCCACTGCTTGCATTATACCAGTAGCCCTGGCAGGGCTCCTCTCCCAGATCATCTACATCACCCGCGCGGTGCCTTGGCTTAGCTGGATCAACGAGCTTCCGGAATTCCTCCTGAGTTTACTCCAGGGTGTACTGCCTCCCTCATTAGTGGCCGTTTTGATGAAAGGATTCGTCGTCGTATTAGAATACCTTGTCAAAAAGCAGGGCATCTCTTCCAAGAGCCATATTGACCTCAAGATTCAAGATTATTACTTCTATTTCCTCTTTCTCCAAGTTACTCTCGTAGTTTCGTTGTCTGCAGGACTTACCGCTATTGCCAACGAGATGAAACATGGAGCTTCGCTGGCTGGGACATTGGCCAAGAATCTACCAAAAGCAAGCAATTACTTCCTCTCCTATATTCTTTTACAGGCTCTTTCAATTAGTGCGAACTCTCTGTTAAGATTTGATCGCTTGATAGGAGACTTTGTACTTGGCCCAATTTTTGATAAATCAGCCACTCAGATCATGACGAGAAGAAGGGGCCAGGATCTCCAATGGGGCACTTTTGTACCTCTCTTTACAAATCTCTCCTGCATCGGTAGGTCTTGGGTTGAAAAAATGCGTCCGGTAGCACATGCTAAGATAAACAGGATTTCTCTACGCTATCATCTCTCCGATTATCATTCCTTTCCAGGTTCTTGTTATAAGCTTGTTCTGGATCATCTACTCCAGCTCAAGTATTCTGACTACTGAGCGGGATCACGGGGGTCTCTTCTATCCCAAAGCCATAAAACATCTCTTAATGGGCTTGTATCTAATGCAAGTCTGTCTTATTGCTCTGTTTCTTCTTGTACGAGACTCGCAGGGCAATGCCAAGTGCATTGGACAGGCATGCGTCATGCTTTTTGCTACAGGACTGACTGTAGTATACCATCGCTTGCTTTGCCGAGCATTCGATCCGCTGCTGAGCTTTTCCCCCACTGCACTCAGCGAGGGTCTAGCCAAGAAGGCAATGCCATCCCCTCCTTTTCTCCACAAGGCCCTTACATCAATTCCAGTGATTAGCATCCCCAGCGATGATCATGGGATCAGCTCTACTCGAGGACTGCAACTCAGAGAGGAGCTAAAAGGCGTGGTAATATCTGATACGGACGCAACTATAACTGTATCAGGCAAGATCTACTTGAACTAGATATTGCGGGAACAAGATCCTAGGGTCTTTTCTGCATGGACTTAGTATTTGAAACCATTTCTTTTGGATAATATAAATGTGTAATGTAAACTTTATGCAACGATCTCCTGTGTCGCATGCACAGATCGTGCGTTCATGCTCAATCGCCTCATATGTACCTGAGTCATGTCTTGTAGCGCGCGCAAATCTAGAGCCATTCCAGGAATCCTTGCGCGAATTCAGGGGCTCGGGATGCAACGGTTCGAACGGAAGACTGACGAAGGAAGTGACCGTAATTGCCGCTGTGCATGGGTTGGGAAAGTCGGATATCGTTTCTATTGGTGTTGCAAGCGCTAGGGATTGATAGCGTATGCGCTAGGGCAGGCTTGCCGCGCCACAGTACAGCCGAATAGACGAAAATGGCCGAACAAATGATCGTCTCATGTGAGCATTCCGTTTTACGGGAGGCCTCTTGAGATTCACAGAATAGGCCGGCATCCGAGATAGCCAGGCAACGGCATACCTTTCCGCCAATTAGTAGCCCTGCGAACACTGATGTGAGCTGCCAACGAGGGCCACGTAGACTGATCGCTACAGCTTGTGTTTTCTATTCCAGAGTTTTCAGTCACTATATATACTATTATGGTGCGGATAGAATGCAAAAAGCTCCTTCATCTTGCTTTACTGTGACCTCCGTAATCAATCTCAGAATGAATCTACACGAGAAAGGCGACGTCGAGGTTCAGATTCAACAATCTCGGTTTTTCATCTCTTCCTCAGTCATGTCAGAAACGTCACCGGAGTTCAAAAAGCTTTTCACCACGCAAAGCGGCACGTTGCGTAAGAGTATCGAGCTCCCTGATGAAGATCCTGAAGCTTTTTACTTGGTGTGCCAGTCGGCTCATGGATCTTTTATACCGCAATCTCATATATCGCTGCAAACACTTGTGAATATGGCTGACGCCATTCAACGATACAAGATCCCCACTACGTCGCGCGTACACCATACCGTAGCGTATAGTTTCATCACACAAACCCTAAGGCCAGAGACGATTTCTACGCCCAAACTCCTTATGCTTATTCGCGTAGCTAAGGTTTTAGGCCCTACTAAGTACCATCAATTACTCCAAGATGTCTTTTTTGTCCGTCCACTTCAACTAGGGCCATTGCCTACTAAGCATTTTGCTGGTGGTCAGGATACAGATTGTGTTGTACTGTTAGGTACGTAATCTGTCCTAGCAAGCGCGATGAGGGTTACTAAATCTCACAGCAAATCTGATGCTTCGAGGTGCAGCATGTCGCTCAGAAGTAGCAAGCAGACTGTTAAGTCCGCCGGGTTCCAGCGAAGCTCTCCATCTACGCGAGAAAAACGACTTAGCTATATGGATCTTGAAGGAAGACCCAAGCCTACAAGAGATAAATACTCGACTTCGAAGTTTGCGAAGGGCTGTAGATCTTCAGAGAGAACAGCTGCTGGACGCTAGTGGAGCAATCGAGGAAGCGACTACCGATATCAGCCGTTACGTCCGCACTACTATGGGAAATGCTCTGAAAGCTGGAGACAATCTCACAGAAGAGGTCTTGAAGCTAGATACATGCCATGAAGTCAAACGCCTAAACGTCCGGATTGCAGAAGACAACCGGACAGCGAGGGAACTAGCGGATGCTGATGATCTGGACCTGGAGCGCGTTTCCTCTAGCAGCACACAATTTGAGAATATGGAAACTTATGGCGAATCTATGGAAAATTTGCCTGATGGCTATTTAGAATTCGAGGATGACGAGTCTGTGGCTTCTGCCAGAACAGTGTAAGAGCATATGCTCTACGTGGGAGACGTCTTAAAACTCGAAAACTTCACACAAAATACCGATGCAATATAATTTCATTACCTTTAGCTAGATGCTTGGATTCCCATTCTCAAAGCTAAAAGAAACTACATCTCTGATAACTTGTATGACTATAGCCATCGGCGCAATCCTGCCGCCTCCGCTGGGTCTACCTCCGCAAATGACGAAAACTCTTGTAGGTCCAGCGTACTTCCTAGAAGATCATGGTCCACTTGTGCTAAGTCGTATTCTGTTAATGGCAGATCTAGTTGCATCGAAGGCGCCATGAAGCTACTCCATTGAGGCTCACTTGCAGCAAAGCTTAGAAGTGATGAGGTTTCTGGCTGTGATTGTGGTAGAGAAAAAGTAGGTGCGGTGCTCAGCAATGTAACCTGATGCTGCAACTGGTCGGAAGTGGTTTCCACGCACACAGGGAGTGTATCAACATATGCCACAATGTCTTGTAAGAGTGGGCGATCGTCTCCCGGGCCCCGTGCCGGCAGCACTGGTATGTTACGACCAGTTTGAATGTATTCGTACAACGTTTGTACTGTATCTCGTAACCTTTTGTTCTGCTCCTCGAGGAGAACTACCCTACATGCAATGTGAGTCGGCTGAACCCACCACTTCCCTGCTCCTAGTGATACTTACATAGATTTTTTATCCCGCTGGTGGTCCGCATCTAGGCTGTAATCACATAATACATTGTCTTTTCGGCATTTATTGCATACACGCTCCCCATCACACAATATTAAGGTAAGTCTTGTACCCGATCGTATTTTCAGTGGCTGAACTCACTTTTGTTTTCTTAAATCGGCATCGATTGCATGCCTGCTTCACTCGTTGCCTAGACCTTTGCATTGTGTCCGGGATCATCTGTAAGCGCGTATCGCATAATATGCAAGAAATCATGTAGGGGCATTATATGCGCCCAACGCAAACTTATGATCGTAGCTGCGTCGCAGTGCTGTGCCACAATCGTGCATGTGGCGACTTGCTAAGAGTTGGGATTACGTGGTCCTTGAAGTGAATACTACTGTGCCACAGTTGATAAGAACATCAGCTGGCTCACCTGAGACGCTACGGGCATATGTCGGCTTAATAAATGTGATAATGAATCATTTGACAAAAGTTAGAATCAAGAATATTTGTCAAGCAAACAGGTATGCTGTCGCCTTGGCTAATCCAAGGCACTTTGATTGCCACACGTAATGCAAGAAGATTCAGATTATTTGCTATTGAGCTGCTTCGAAATCCAAGTCTTGCTATTCTTCTTGCCATACACATAGTATATGTCATTAGGTTGCTTGGATCTTTTACGGCGATGCAAGATCTGAGAGGGATTACAGAGCTTAAGTAGCCCACCCCTATCGAGTAAAGCGAACAAAGGCGCGTCGCCCTGCGCTTGAATAGTGTTTACTACTTTCTCAATATTATATTCAGTTACATCGCATACATGATTCGCCTGGGGAAGCATATTTCGACTCTGGGGCAGATGCCAGAATGTGATGCGGCCACCATGGGGCCTAGCCAGATAATCCGGATATACGGGCACCGAGTAGACAGAGGAAGAACGCAATGATGGTTGGGCCGGCTGGGCCGGCTGGGCCGGTTGGTTCGGTTGAAAGCCTTCGCAGATACTGCTGATAGATGTTGATCCAAATCTCTCAAAGAACGACATGGAAACCAACACAAGCATTCCGTATTCTGTCAACGCGTACCTCGGCTCTTGAGTAATGGCGGTCCATATTGTGGGAAGAAATAGCTCGGGGTGGCTCTTAGGTATCCTTATAGTAGTCGCACTATCGGTCGTCATCAATGGAGTCAGAGCAGGCAGGCGAGGCTCAAAGATCGCTTGGCCAGTCTGACGGGAATGAGCTTCTGTCTCGAACTTATCTGCAGACGCAGAAAACAGATGATTTGGTCGTTCTTGAAGCATGTGAATGCGAATCTGTGAAAGATCTGGATCTTGATTGCATAGAGAAGAGATTTCGGCAGACGCAAAACCAAGTCTGCGTGCAAAGTGGCCAAGCCGAATGATCCATTCTGGACGCTCTAGTTGCTCCCTTTGGCTTTTTCCTTCGTTGTAAGAATTCCATTGGCTTCTCGTGTGGCGAAAAAGATAAAGACAGAGTTGCCAGTACGCATATTTTCCGGGATCGCTACATTCAAAGAAGCGCTCATCGTGTTCACTGTATTGCAATAAACATTGTTGCTTATTTTCCTCACGCTGCTCGTAGCAATGCTGAAGTAGAATGTCTCTTACTGAGGGAAGACGTCTAGATACTGGGCTGAATTCGTCCCTTCGAGGGAATAGCTCACCCGCTGGGAACAACTCTCTTAGAGGAAGCATAATCGGTCCTAATACCTTGACGTGTTTAAAAAACGTCTGGAAGTTTAAGATGAGCCCTTCGACAGTAAGGACTCTTTGAAGTATCTGAGCGCGTACAGCAGAATCGCGTGCGCGATAGAAGACCTGACATGTAGCGAACAAGGTCTCGATCGTTGAACGATCGCGAGAACTCCATAGAGGCGCAAGGCCCCCAAGCTTCTGGGCAGTGTATTCATCACAGAGGTGGGTGTTTCCATCTGTAATTGTATGCCAGATCTCATACATCTGGTTCAGATAGTATTCAATTTCCTAGAGAAGTAAACGATCCGAGTCACTTTGGTTTTAGGGGACCTGTACCTGTCTGCACCGCCAGCTCAGAATCAACGGAAAACATCCAAGCTGAAAACCCATCCATAGGGAGCGAAACGGCTCTAATTTTTCAAGACAGTCGCGAAGCCAGTCATTACGCAGAACTTGATGAAGGCTCTTCACCTTGGCCCCCAGTAACTTCTTCCACCTTAAAGCGACCTCGTAATCTTTTTTACGTTCATAAAACTGAATGTGAAGGAACTTTTCTCCATCACATAGAGGCGCATGTCGCATGTATGACTGGCGAATCTGAACCAGCGCAGATGTAGGTGCGTCTATCTACTGCTCAGCAGCTGATTTCATGGAAAATCGTGATTCTCTTACCTGAACTGTAGAGATCCACGAGCCACCAATCGTCTTGATTTTGCGATCTATCTCGTTTCGCAGTCTCTAATCGAAATCGGCCGTGAAGGCATGGTAACTGAATATCACCGGAAAGAACAAGCCTGGGCGGATATCCAACAGCATAAAGCGCATGCTTGGAGATACCTGCTTCATCCAAACAGTTCTGGTACTCAGAATACCCAATCAAAGCCGGTAAATTATGTTCTACATCAGATATGCAGCACCCAACACAATCGTCGGGATCCGACCCAGATGTACTATAGCATAGATTCAGTAGACGTATTTGAGCAGTACCAAGGTAGTATCGGAATCTTTCAAGCCTTTTACTCATATTTTGACTTTTCTAAGGTATCAGCTTAGGTTCAGCGTCTTTATAAATGTGTCATTGCTAGCACCCTCTTGAAAGTGAGTCTTGCAAGAACCTGCTTATCTCAAAAACTTATTTATACCGACACGGACAAGGCTTTCACGCTTGAGAGAGATACTTTCTTTCATTCAAATCATGTAATCATGCCGCTAGAAAATTATTCAGATTGGCTATACGGCTTTCAAACTGGAACTGATTGGTTCCTAGCGTGTGGGGGCGCCTTACAGCGAGCGACTGCTGGTTTTCGCAATCCTCATGCCCAGTTTCCTTCTACAGTCTTGCTGATTGGCAAGCGTGAGAAAGACGCGGCGCGTCGGGCGCTGCTACAAGGGCATACTCATCCAGAGTCACGCGGTATTGCACAATTGCAGGCAGACAATTCGACATCCTACGATGAATATCCCCTCCAAGTTGCGAGTCTAGATATTGAGAAAGCCTGCAGCAAGCAGAAGCCACTGCAAAATCGTAATGGACATTTGCTTCACAAAGTCACGTGGTTGTCAGAGCATTTATCCGCACCCACAGCAGAGACTTTTGTGGAAATCATGGTTGGCAAGTTATTGACGTTATTCGTTGATGTTATTTGTATTTTTCTTGACGATTTTTCTACCCCTGAGGAAGGGATCCATTTCCTACAAAGATGTGGACATCATAGTAGCATGTCACAAGACTGGAAGCCACAGGTCATCCTTGTCAGTAGTCGCGCGTACAAGCGGAAGGGAAATTTTAGCCTGCCCATATTTAGTAGTATTCAGCGCGTAGTACTGCCGAAACAAAGCCGCAAAACCCTGTCTGCCTCGAGGTATTTCACATTGAAGAAGGTCATCGATTCTAGGGTGAAAATGGTAAGGAAAGGTAGGGATACGTCTAAGATGCTGTACTCAGCCTCTCATCTCAATGCCTTCTTTGAGCTGGCATTAGAACATGTTGCTACATGCGCCTCTGCACCATTCAACTTTATCATCGCTTCACGGCAACGCAATCGAATAGAAAAAGATCTTAGGGCCAATCTACGGCACTTTTTGGCGCTATGCACCACTAATCACGTAAGCAAAGAGGCTACCTTGAAGCACATTGCTTCTGCACTTATGCTGGACAGTCTTCCGCCAGGTATGCATCGTAAGTACTCCAAGCTGAGCTATCACGGTATAATCTTAACCAACAGGCTTCAAACCGTCCTCGGTCTTCGAGTGCCTATATCAATCTCACTGTTATGGAGTCTTTTCATCGCTACCATCCGAACAAGGCTTCTCGCCAACAGCTTCATGTACACAGTTGAAAGTGTTTTTTAGCCAGTTTTGCTGCAAACTTGAGCAAGCCGAGCTTACGGCGGTGCAAATGCACAAGAGAAATCTACAAGATATACCCATCGACTGGAAAACGCTCCAAAGCTCTCAAGTCTGCCTTTATTGCATCTTCCGTAAGCCTGAGCATAGCTTACGTTGTGGACACGCGCTTTGTGATTCCTGCGCTTGCAAATTTGGACTGAAAGGGCAGCAAATGGAATACTCATACCGTATCTTGCAATGCATTTTGTGCCATTCCAACAGCGAGCTGACAATTCGTCTAAAACCACCGACTGCCGGCAGCCGCCTGCTCGTTCTTGACGGAGGTGGTATTCGGGGAATACTCACTCTACGTATACTACAAGCGCTCGACAAGTATCGACAACTTCCTTATCCCATCCACGATGAGTTTGACTTAACATTGGGTACAAGTACAGGTAAGTCTCTCCTCTATCTCGACATCTGCAGATGGAACCACCACTCATCATAAGATGTAGGCGGCCTTATTGTGCTCATGTTCCTCTTACGCCGGAGTCTGGACGAGTGCATCGACATCTTCAGGCAGCTGTCTGAACGTGTCTTCGCTCCTCGTTCAATACTTGGAAATTCCCTGTTCGCGAATACATATGGATTTCTATATTCACTACTTACAGATAGCTTCTACGGGGCTGCCGAGATGGAGGCATGCGTGAAAGAAGCATTCGGATCAAACACTACCCTTTTTGGCTCTAATACATCGAATACTGGTATATCGGGTCCCAAAGTCGCAGTTACTACAATGGCTGTATCTAACTCGAGACTGTGCATCCTCTCTAACTATAATGGAGTTGGAGTAAGAAAAGGTGAAAGGCTACATCCCATCTTTGGATAAAAGACTAATAGACGAATACAGGTTACCGACACTACCGAGCTACTAATGTGAAAGAGGAGGCTCTTATATGCGATGCGTAGGTTATGGTTCCTTCTCTTAGCTTTCAAGCTTATTTTATCCAGAGCTAGGGCTACGTCAGCTGCCCCATCCTACTTCCCAGCAAAGTTTATCCAGGGCATTGGATTTTTACAGGATGGCGGTGCAGGAAAGCATAACAATCCTATTGGTCCCGCAGAGTGGGAGGCGAAAGCCATCTGGAACAATACACCTGACCTAGCTGTCTCGATAGGTACAGGGTTTGCTCGAGATTCAGAGCCACCAAAGACAGTCTCTAGAAGATTGGGTTTTCGTGACCGTTTCTTCTCGCGCCTATTCCGCCTTTTTAACGCCATGCTGAATGCCCAAGACAGCTGGGAGGACCACGTGAATCGTGTCCCTCTCGAGGAACGGCACAGATACTTCCGTGTTAACATAGCGCTTAGCACAGAGCCAAGGCTAGATGATGTTAGCAAGATACCAGATCTAGAAGACTTGACTGCGACATTTCTTCATGGTTACGATTTTTCTAGTATCGCGCAGGCGCTGTTTGCCGCTGCTTTCTTTTTCGAACTCCACCAGAAGCCTACTGCTAATAGAACATTGCTAGTATGCTTTGGTTCTATCCGCTGCCGTAGCCCGGACACGCGTGCGCTAGTTGAAAGAATTCTGCAGGAATACCCAGATGCCTCCTTTACGATAGAAGATGGTACTAGCTTGGGCCATATTGGCGACTCCAGCCTTTGCACTGTATGTGGCCATTACTGCAAGGCCGTCGAGCTCAAAGTGTACCATGCAGAACAGAGCAAATCTATCTACCTGCAGTTTGATCAATCCAACCAAACAAGAATCAGTGGTTTCCCGCAATCCATGTCACATTTCGCAAGAGTCCAACAGCTGGACGCTGAGTTTGGGAGATCAGATCATCAAGCTACGGACTCTATAGGTATGAGTCGTTGTCAGTGTAAAACCAGCAGGAAAAGAAAAAAGGCGATGCCTTTGACAACTAGAATCTCCAAGAGGCGGCGCCCTAACTTCACGTAAGAAAAGATCAATGAAATACACATGTACACTGCATAATGGCTCCGTAAATAGAGGCTTCCAGCTAAACCAAAGAAGAATCATACGCGAGAAAGACCCGTAAGCCCAAAATACCATATAAAGTGGCGTGGTTATTCACTGACTGATTGTACTGTATTTAAACTCGCTCTTAGCAACATAAGCAACAGGACAATATAATACCTTTACACACATACCCACTCATACATCCAATCGAACGCTTCATCTGAGCATATCCGTGTTATTGGTTTACTTATTCAACCTTTGAGCTCGCATTGAAATATGAAGGCTCAACAGACGATACTATCTGCTCTCCAACGTTTGCGGCAGATGTTATCGAGATTGCGGCATAACAGAGCAGATCCCGAAGGCTATAGTCGATTTCTTAATGACAGTATCATTGAAAGAAGGCGATACGAACAAGCACGCCGCAAACAAACAGAAGTTACTTAATTTATTCTATGCTACATCGCTGCTAGATACTCTCCTGATATAAACCTGCTGAGTAAATTGTAAAGTAAGATGTTGTACAACTGATTTATTTTTGCAAATCATTATTAGAACGTGCATACGGAAATAATAGCTAGTAAGGAACACAAGATAAGATTTCTAAAGCCTAGTCTACTAAGCATGTTATGTAGCCCTGTCTGCAGCTCGGTCTTCCTGCTTCATTGCTATCGCTAATAGTTGTGAATACTTCTCGTGAACTTCCATGGACCACGGTACTAAATTATTGACATAGCGTTGAGCTCCTAGTACGCTCGTCTCTATATCATCTAGCCGCTTACAGAACATTTCATGCAGCTCTGAGATATCACGACGCAGCTGTCGCACCTCAGTTTGCACATCGGTTAGCTCCTCGTGTGTTTGAGGCAATGAATTGTCGTTGGTAGCAGGCTTGATAGCAGCTGTGGATTGCTCGAAGCCTTCGTAGGGACTTGACAGCGGAAACGCATTCTCTTCCCAATTGAAATCCCATTCCTGTTCTGGGATAGGCGGTAAACGAGGACTAAATGTAGATGACCCTGTGGCAACTGTTGCGTTTAAAGATGAAAATAACGCCGGTTGCTCAGAGAATAATGCATTTTGATTATTAGAAGCCATGTTTATTAGATGTTAGCTAGAAACCTAGCGAAGGGTGCAAGCACTTATAGCCACTAGTACGGAATTACAAAGAAGCTATAAGCAACAAGTTTACGGCAGTATGTCTTGAGTGTGAAAAACAAGGTCTACCGCTTCCGAATGTATCCGGCGTTTATCTTGCTAGTCAAAGCATTACTGTACTAGGCAATACCATCTCTAACGGAAGTCGACTCTATGTAAAACGATGGTCTTGACTGCGGTCGTGTAGCACCTATCGATCGCGACCTTACCCCGCACACGGTTGCAACGGAGTTTCGCTTGGCTCTCCATGTACATGGTTTGGCATTATGTATGGATCACTTCACGATCGATATGATTGGTAGATATTCGGCGAAACAACTAGTAGCCCCTAATCCTACTGTGTAAATTCAAAGTTCCAAACACTAGTGCAGTGTCTTCCGGCCGAACCGTTCCGTACCTGTCTAGCGGATTAGAAGAAGGGCGTGTCACTCAAAACTAATGAGATAGTTGCATTAAGCGCCAGCAAAAAGTACAAATTGGCCCAATGTAGGAGCGCGTTCGGTCTGGAACCCTAACCATTGGCGTGGAGTAACTTGCTGACGCAATCCCGCTTTTTGGCTTCCGCAACTGTAAATGCTTGGCTACTCTACTAGTCCTTCTACAGCCTCGTTACTATTGTGAGAACTCAGAAAAAAGCGCCTGCTAGTATAGTATTTAGTCTGTTTCTTGCCCAAGTACTTCTCACCTTTAAAGAAGCATTTCCCTTTGGTCGATTACAATGAGTCAGTCACAGCGACATCAAGAATTAACAATGCAATCATCAAAGGTATTTCTGCTATCTCATCAAAGAGCTTATAATTGACTTCAGATAGCAGGAAAATATGGATTCTTGCAACCAAGCATGCTGTGCCAGGGTTGCGGTATACATGACTAACTTGTATAGTCATGGCCAAAGCCAGCTACAAAGCATGTATCAACACCTTCAATTGGCTCAAAGCGAGATAGGAAATACAAGACGGCAAGTCTTAGCGATAGAGAAAGAATTACAACAGGAACGGAAGGCAAGCGAACTCTTTAACCAGCAATTCATAGAGCTACAAGAGTGTCACGACAAACTTTTGAAGGAGTACGAGAGCTGCGTGAAGGTCCAAGAAGATCTCAATAGATCTGCAACAGACTCTCGGACGTTCGCTGATGAGGTGGCTAGGCGAGCCGAAAGCCTGTTGAACAATTCTCGAGCCAGTCTGGCTGGAGGCGACGTGGAGGGCTCACATAATGGTCAAAGTATCAGTGAGATGATTTTAGAGTCAGCCAAGAACGCTCTGCTTGTGCAGGCAATTTCCAGTCAGCATTCGGAGGATGACGAGTTTACCAAGTTGAGGTCAGTTATGGACCAAAATGTGGATTTCCAGTACCATCACATGGAGCTTCGCGAGAAGATCAAAACTCTATCCCAACAAGTCGAAGATGGAAAGAATGAGGTCGCAAGCCTAAATAAGGCTCTCGAAATTGCTACCGAAGATGGACGACGAAAGAAATCTCGACGAGGAAAAACATCAGCTGGGAAGAAGCAGTGACTTCTTTCATCATAATATGCATGAGCATCTGTTTATTATCAAAATTCTACTTCACTGTTATTTCTACGACGTCCCCAAATCAGTAATTACAGATTCTGTTACATGTTCGACCGGGAACACTATGACCTGTGCATTTAAGACAAAAGGAATTAGAGACGCTGTGGGCAAAGCGTTTTTCAAAAAACTGTCCTGCAACATTTTAGTATTATACTATAACTTCAACAAAATATAATTACCCTCTTTAATTCTTGATATGATTTTTCAGCGGCGTGGTGGATGAAAGCAAGGAGATCCTGGCTTTGCTGTAGGGTTGAAGAACCCGGAACAACGGACACTAGGTTTTCTAGCATTGTTCCAAAGGCAACAGCCTTATCATCTGCCACTGTTTCTTGCAAAGATGCTCGGTCCAATGCTACGTGCTGTTTAGCGGTTGGAACTCCTTCTGTCAAGTGTTCGATACTTACCAACTTTGACTCGACCATTACTTTCTGAAATTGTAATATCTTCTACACTGATTGAAGGCAAGCAAAGGCCCGCAGTGTACAGAGCGCAGATACCAGAAAGTGTCTGCACTATTATTACTCCATGAATGATTGAACGTGCGATTGCCCTACCTCTACGCTTACGGTTCTCACCTGAGCTAAACCCAGCGGTGGGGAATGAGACACAGCAATCTCAGACAATGGAAGGCCAGGTCTATCGAAGACAGTGAACAAAGAACCTTGAAAACTAAAGACAGACACGACATTGAGAAGATTCGGGTTCGGATCCTCTAAGCCATAAACGGATTTATCAGGGCTACGTCGAATCATCACGACCCGGTATGCGTTCTCAGTAGCACCTGAGGCAATGTCTTGTGCCAAACAATAAGGTCTTTCTCCTTCCGGATCCACGATGTGTATACATTGATAGTGTCTTCCAGGATCTTCATTAAGTGGTATGAAGATTTTGCGCTTTGCTCGAAGGGTTAGCGTAGGCTTTGGGAGCTTACGCTCTATCAGTCCATCTTCACTATAAAGCCTTCGCTTCGGGGCTCTTGGCTCAGTAGAGCCACCCTTTCTGTTAATAGGGTTTGCGTTTTCTACGCCATTCGTCGCCCTTGGAAAGATCGTCAGTCGCCTAGAATCCATATTAGCTGAGACTTTGTGAGCTAGGCGCTTGCTGCAGGCTTAATATAAAAAACCCGTCCGCACATTTGTACCTGCGCTAACCCAGCGAACTTAAGACCACTTGACTCCCATTCAGCTTCACATATTATTATGAATTCAGTAATGAGAAAGCTCTCTCGTGGAAGGCCTCTCGAAGTTAATAACATTGACCATATTATAAGATGCTATGGTGGTATGACGATCGCGATAGAAATGGAACCTCACTATATGCAAAAGTCGAAGCAGCCCAAAGACATGGTTCAGTACATCGATTTTCTCAACCGCAGAAATGGGGAACTTAGATTCGAGCTTACATTCTACCGGGAATGTTACCGGCACGCAGAAAAGTTCAAGGAAAAGATTGACAGAATCTCTCAAGACTTACTGCAAGCATGCATTCTTGGTTTACTTGATGGAATCGCTTTCGACGAGATCCGAGACCTTTCCAACGCAGTCTCAGATGCAGTAGATCAATTCAGCCACGACCAGGAACAAGCATTTGAAGCTTTCATAGCGCCTTACAGAGCATCAAAGAGTCCAAAAAAAACTACCATGTCGATGGACGGGTGGATTTGAGATTCATTTCTATCTAAGCACCTTCGATCCCACGGCATTGGATTGGCAAAGAGTGTCTTCTTTTACTGTGCCGCCTCAGCTCAAATGGTTGAAAGTCTAGCTCCAGATATCTCACTTGCTTATGGCTGGTACGAGCAACGCGTTCTCGCGCCTGGCACCTCATTTCCCAGTGTGCGCATACTGCTCAGGTTATTTAGTGTAGCGACAGTGAATGAAAATTCTTACCACAGATTACGAGTCTTCCATTTCTTGTTTCTAGAACATCGTTGATAATTTGCCGCACATCTGGCTTTCCTTTTACCTCAGCAATCCGACTGCCTGTCCGCCTGTATGATACTGCATTCCCGGCCTCATTGAATATCTCGTAGTCACCGTAGATATAAACATCTATAATCTTGGAAGCATTAGCGTTTGCTAAAACTATATCGTCACATTACAACTTGCATTGTCTCCATGCGGTGCAGGTCGCACTCCTGGGTTTTCTCCGGTGGTACTACCGCCCAAGTATCGGTCTTTCTTTCCGCTTCGGGACGTAATACCAGTATCTTTGTGCGTTGCAGTGCTTGGAAGATCATCCTTTCTCAGTATAATATTCATAACCTCCCAGACCAAATCCAGCTGATACTTATCATCTACGTGCCAGATTAGGAGTATATCTCTTGTCTTGGTTTTTGATTGCTGGTGGTCGCGTATGAGCTTTTGAACATAGGCAAGATGGCCAACAATCCCAATCCCACTAGCGAATAGAACCACTGTACCAAAGTCTCGAAGGTCGAATCCTTGCCCGTAGGGCCCTTCTATGAAAGCACTAAGCTCCCTGGTTCTATAAAGGGTCTGTGTAAGGAGTCGACTTGTGAAACCCGCCCTAGGTTGAATACGCAACTGGAAGTCGTGGTCGTCTGATTCTGAGTCTGCTACCATGAAAGGGTGGCGCTGCAATATAGAGAAAAATCCGGGTCTCCTCATAGTAAGGTAGACATACTGGCCGGGCTGAATTTTCCAAGGCCTGGGCACTTTGACCTTTATTTGGAGAGTGTTGTGGAAGCTCTCAACAGACACACTTGTGTTGGGCTTGCTTACTGAAAGATTACGATATATAAGGAGGAAGTTTCTATGGCAGTACGTCGCTATCCATATACATGTTGCTACAATGACTTGCAATCGGCCTATTTTATTTGATATATTAACATGAAGCCATAGAAATATGCATATTGATGTCGAGCAACTGATGTGAATGACTCGAAAGATCTCGTATGCATGATAACGGAAGATGGGGAGAGAAGTAACACTCATTAGTCCCACGCAGCAGAATATCTGGGTGAATAAGAATATAGTACAAACATCAATACATATACACATACCGCTATCCCACTTATCGTGTTGATGTCGTCAGTCCACCCGTGGGCAGTGAGTTCTCGTCCAGCGTGAATAGACGTTTGTATCAGAGCAACCAGTCCAATCAAACTGTGAGTTTGATGATATACCTTCAAGGAAATATGCAGAATATCAGCTGCTACGTTCGAGCCGGGGAGGAGAAGTATAAGATTTGTTGCAAGCATCGAAGCGGACCGGCTGCTGAGCTCTTTGGCCGCTTTTACACCCCAACCCATACAAACACCATTGGCGATCACATATAGTAGGGGGAACATCGTATCCTTTGCTGATATCCGCCATTTGGATATTCCAAATAGGCTAGTAGTAGAGTACACTAGATACTTGAGAATAGCATCTGTTATGAGTGCCGCAAGCCACTGAAACGCTAGACGAGTGCTAAAACATAGAATGAGGAAGGCAATAAGCCCTGAAAATAGCATAGAGTACCAGATGGAGGGGCTCCATTGGCGATCCATATCTAGATGCGTCAAATGTAGGGTCTAAGCTTACTGATATAACGTTTTAGTAGAAATGGTCAGTGCGGGCTTATTGCGTATAAATAGACGGCTCAGTGCCCTGCAATGTGCATTTTATTACATCATGAAGTCTAGAAGATTGGAGCAAGAGTCCTTCCGGAAACGGAAAAACAATTTCATTCGTCGTGGTCATGAAATAAGTGACCGATACAAAGTAGGGGTGTGGATATGTATTCAGAAGGACAACGGTCAGTTGTATATTTACAATTCAAGTCCAACAAGAACAGACTGGCCACCATCCTCTACACAACTTGCAGGTTATGGAACATCTTGTTACATGGGCATAGCTAAGGAAAATAGGAGTCCATGTATCCGGTTCCTGTGATAAGAACTAGCAAAGATTTCCTCCCCAGGAAGCCCGCATTGCGGAAATCGCTGCTGGTCAAAACTGAGTCTTCTTTACCTGGACTTTTGTCTACGCCGCCTATTCCTGATTTTAATCAGGGGGAAGTACCCCTCGGACAGTTGCTGGAAACAGCTGAAAAGTGATGGTCATATTTAAAATATTTCATCATGATGTAACTATATAGTTGTTCTTTAAGATAGCAAGATAAATTAGTGACTATTCACCATGTCAGCTTCCGGGACGCCATGTGACTCCTATAGAAGTATTTTAAGTATATGAGGCATTGTAAACTTGCTTATATTGCTAGATAATACTGATAAATGATGTAAAGTGTCTTAATGTTAGGTGTCCCTCGAATTATTACATGATGCTCTTCAGCATGGTGCTGCAATAATTCAATTGTACCATTTCATTGAACGTGTGTTGATTTCTCTCTGCAATATATAAACAAGTTTCCCAATACAAGGAAACATTCTCAACAATCTATTGTTTATAGACATAATGCCTATCACTAGGACTAGCAAAACTAATGTCAAGGGTGAGAAGATCACCACAAACACGAACAATACGAAAGGTATGAAAAAAACGAAAAATACGAAGAGCATGAAAAGCACGATAGGACATCATGACGATAAACTTAGAAAGCTCCAAGAAGAATATGATAAACTAGAAGAGACAAGGGACCAGGGAATGTTTACCGAAGAAGACGAAGCAAAGTTGAAAGAGATAAAGACAGAGATGGGGAAGTATGCTAGTGCCACGGCCCAAATTAGCATCAACCATACTACTGGAGCTGGATCTGGATCTACTGAACCAATGGATGGTGAACCAATTGAAACTGATACGGAGTCAGGTAACACTGATCATATGACTCATGGGAAGGTAATTGCCAACGAGCCAATTGCCACGCAGCCAGATGCAGCAATTCACGCGCTAGACCCTGAGAAGAGATATGCAAGTCATCAAGAAGGTTCATCAGGACATAGTAAAATGAAACAAGAGCTTAAAGAAGAGTCAAAAACGTTTACTCAGGAACTTGTGGATAATCTCAATATGACATGGAACATCGATGTCAATGATTCTCACGGGGAGTCTTCACTGCAGCATCTCCCCAAAGGAGTGTTTGGCCACATTCAGAGAAGCTCTCGGACTCGATACTGTGTTAGATTTGGATCTAAGGAGGGTTTAAGTGCTCGTTTTGAATCAATTCTCCCGAACGGGTCTGACTATAAGGAAGAACGAGATGTCACCCAAGGTAGCAATCGCATTGTTGAGAAGATTGTGCAACATCATAGAGATGAAAAAACTGCACTTCCTATGAACATACTTAGCCAAGTAAGAATTTTGTTAGTGTACTGGGACTCCAAAATGGGCGTTGGACATGACGCCGAGGTAGAGGTACTAGCTCCCGACTTCAAAGGAAAACGACCACATACCCGCTGCTTTGTTTATCTAAATCCCGATCTCTATGCACAATATAATCTTAAAAATACATCAGGTTTCAGTCACGAAACTAGGTCAACAATGAAACTTCTGATGGAAGGAATCGATGACCGGCAAAAATCAATTGCTATTTATAACATTGCTGTCAAGATTGAAAATCAGTTTGAGAAAAGATGGATGAGCAACATTCCAGGCAGACCTACGCCACTCTGTGAGCTGAAACACGAGACGAAAGCGGTGTCCCGCCGGACTAAGTCGCTGTTTGCTACCACTGAACACTCAGTAACCCCGACGCTTATGGAACTTCCGGTTCCACAACGTCAGTTTACACCTCTACCGAAGACAGAACTAGAGAAGACCTCTGTTGAGAAAACGCCAGGAATGTCGCTAAAGCAACAGTTTCACAAAGACTTCTTGGAACTTTTTGAACTGCCGGAAGATATCACGTATGCAGGCTTGACTGAAGAGCAGCAACTTCTTTACCCTGCGCAATTCACAAAGTGGAAGAAGGTAAACAGTTAGATAAAGGCTTAAACAGAGCCCTCACTTCTAGATAGTATTAGGAAGAGTTATATTAAGGCGACTGTGCTGAAGTGTATCAAACCTTGTAGATCAAAATCTAAGCTTTTTTCTTGAATATAAACAGCTCTATAAGATGAAAATCCGCTATATTTCACTTGTTAACGTGTTTGCATTAATTACTAGAGCGTTTTGGCGGCTTCCTTGCTACTCTCGATTGGGGGTTTTTCGAATTGATCCAATCGTCTCGGAAGGGCTCCCTTCCCAACATGCACACACGCTTCATGGGGCACAGAGTACGTTAAGCATGAGATTGCGGTTTCGATGTCTAATCGTTAGTCTAGACTTAGATTTCTCGTCGTCCTATGATAGCCTTGTTCAGTCTAAGTGCACGACATGTGCAGTGCTTGAAGACATGTCTGCTTACTGGACGCCACCACTTATGTTTTTGCATACAAACGGTACTGTAGAGATTGTTCCACAAATCGGTGGTATGCTTATGTCAGTATTAAGAATAATATTTAAAAGCTAATACTGATAAATGGGCAAATTATAGTTATTATTTTCTTTTTGGAGATAGAATCACGGCATTTCCACCGGGATTTAGAATGATTGCAGGCAATGCTAGTAAACAAAATGACTTTATTCCCCCTTCAGACATACCACAATCTCTGTGGGGTCCAGAAGAGAAAACACCAAAAGCACTCGCTGGAAAAGCTATTGGGTTCAATTGTTTAAATTACAGTGGGGCTGCTGAGGGGTCTTTAACTCGCCATCTACTT